TCAAACTCAGAATATTTGTATGTATAAACGAATGAAAATCAAAATTTGTATTTGTTTTTTATATTAAAATATGTTAAGAAGCTCAGTAAATGTTATTACTTCGTATAATTTTGTTGTTTTATTTAAATCTAGAGCAACAGATCCTTAGATGCTAAAGAGAAGGCAATATTAACTGTTACGAAAGTGTATTCTTCTTCTTCCTTCTTGTATGTCGGCTTTAAAGCATGTTTCCTCTTCAATATTAGCTTCCTAAATTGTTTAAATTATCGCACCATCTTTTTTTGGTCTGCCAATACTTCTTCGTCCATTTGGTGACTTATCTCGTGCTATTCGTACTGTTCTATTCTCTGCCATTCTACTAATGTGTTCGTTTCACTCCTGTTTCCGTTTTGTCACCCATCCATTTATGTCTTCTATATTGCATGCTCTTCTTATGTTTTCGCTTCTCTCTCTCTCTTCTATTCGTCGGAGTATTTTTATTTCTGTTTTTTCTAGTAGTCGTCTCGTTTCAGATTTGTCAGGTCTTGTCTCCGCCGTGTATGTTAATATAGGTCTAATTGCTGCTTTATTGATTCTTGTTTTTGTGTCTTGTCTTAGGTGTTTGTTCTTCCAGATTGTGTCATTAAGAGATGCCGCCGCTTTACTTGCTTTTAAACTTTGTTGTCGTACTTCTTCCACATCTTTCACATACGTCTCAAATTTTGACACCACTGGCTCACATTATAAATGCTTCTTTCAATACTGGTGTTTTTCCCAATATGCTGAAAACTTCTATCATTTCACCGGTATTAAAACAAGGTGATCCTGAATTAATGTCAAATTTTCGACCATTGTCTGTTCCATCTGTGATATCTAAGATTATTGAATATGCAATGCTAAAACAACTTTTATTATTTTTAGATATCAACCAAGTTATCACAAAGCATCAACATGGATTTCGAAATAAATTTTCTACTTCCACAGCCATTAACAGTTTTTATGAGGAAGTCTTACTCTCAATTGAGAACAGTAAAAATCCAACTGCCATTTTTTGTGATCTCAGTCGTGCATTTGATTGTGTGCAACACGATGTACTCCTCGATAGATTGTACAGATATGGTGTTAGGGGAGTTGCCCATAGTTGGTTTGGTTCCTATCTGAAAGACCGGCACCAAATAGTTAAAGTGAAAAATAACTTCAAGATTTCAATGTCTGATCCGATTATTAATAAGAATGGAGTACCACAGGGCTCCATATTGGGCCCTATATTATTTATTTTGTATATTAATGAACTACCACATGTAATGCCTGATGCATTTGTATCAGTTTATGCGGATGACTCAACAATGCTATATCGCGATAAAGACATAAATTTTTTACAAGATAAAATAACAAACTCACTGAAGACCTTCTCTGATTGGTCCAGTAATCAGTCGCTCCTGTTCAATGTTCACAAAACTAAATTTTTATCATTTACATCACGTTCAAATTCTACTAAACCTGATTTAAGTATTTCCATCAATGGTGAGGATATTTTGAGTTGTAGTGATGTGAAGTTTTTAGGAGTGACTTTCGACTCTCATTTATCTTTTAAGACTCATTGTTGGAATGTATGTAAAAAACTCAATTCTAAATGTTATCAATTGAGAAATTTGGGTAGAATACTTAGTCTGCAACACCTTCGTCTTTTTTATTTTGCTGAGGTACAATCGACAATAAGTTACGGTATAACTGTCTGGGGTGGTTCTTCTAGTGTAAAGGACGTTTTCAAGGCCCAAAAGCGTATTGTCAGATGTATAGCAGGTGTTCCGTATGGTTGGTCTTGTAAAAACCTATTTAGAGATTTGAATATATTAACAGTGTATGGAATTTACATTTTGGAATTATTGATACTAATTCATAAAAATAAAAGAACTTTTTTATGTAACAGTGATATTCACTCACACAACACAAGAAATAAGAGACAGTTTGTAGTACCCTATCGACATTTAGAAATAAGCAGGAAGTCATCTACTATCTGTGGTTTACTACTGTATAATCAACTTCCTCAAAAATTTAAAAACATTAATTCAACTACAGCTTTTAAAAACCAAGTCAAAGAGTACCTAGTGACCATGTGTCCTTATACATTAGGTGAATATTACGAGGGTGTATCTGTGAATGCCTAAGCTGCAACATAACCAAATTTATTATTATTTTAATTATATGTCTATATTGTACGTTTTTTAAGTATTTTAATGTTTTAAATATTTTTAATGTATTGTTTCCATTTTTTGTAATATTTAATATTTATAATTTTAGTTTTGACTTGCTGTAAACCTAGTTGTAACTTACAGTCAAATAAACTATCTATCTATCTATCTATAACATCTCCGTAACTAATTATATCTATTCCCAGATATCTAAACCTTGCTTTCTGCTTTATTATTTTCCCATCAATTTCGATTTTACATCATAGTGGGTATTTAAATGTCATACATTTCGTTTTTTCTGCTGATATCATATTTTATTTCTTGGCTATTGTATTGAAGATGTGTGTTAATTTGTGGAGCTCGTCTTCTGTCTCGGCGATTAATGCGACGTCGTCTTCTTTATCATCTTGGTGCTACCCTTAGAGGACTTCGACCTTCTCAAGCTTTCTACGCCATTCTGTTCTGTGCCTTGCTTGCATTTTCCAGTTGCCGACTCCGATCTTCTCGTCATCTTGTGTTACCCCGTCCATCCACCTCAGCTTTGGTCTACCCCGTCTTCTCATTCCCACGGGTTGCGCTGTTAGAATCTTTTTTATCGTGTTCGATTCAGGGGCCCGGGCTACATGTCCTGTCCACTGCAGGCGGTTTTGCTTAATTATAATGATAATATCTTTACCACCAAACGTATGCTTGTAGATATTCTGCAGTTCCAAGTTATATCTACGCCTCCATATTCCGTTCTCACAGACCGCTCCGAATATCTTGCGTAGCACCTTTCTTTCAAAAATCGATAGAGATAGGATCAGAATAAAGATCCAACAAGCCAAAGAAACGTGGCTAAGTGAAAGATGCCAAGAAATTGAGGAGTTGGAACAAAGACATGATACTTTCAATCTACATAAAAAAGTAAAAGAAGCCGCTGGAATATTTAAAACAACTCCTACATCTTTCATCGAAGATAAACATGGGAACCCGCTACTGAACATAGAAGATCAAATAGGTAAATGGAGAGAAAGAGATGTTTCAAGACCGATATAGGACGAACATTTACATGCAAGAGGCATCGACTGGACCTTATATCACAAAGCAAGAAATTATCAAAGCGGCAAATCAGTTAAAGAACGGAAAAGCTGTTGGGGAAGATAATATTCCAATTGAAATAATAAAGATATTATTAGACGAACACATCGAAGTAATGGAAGATATATTTAACAAAATATACGAAACAGGCATAATACCAAACGATTGGCTGACATCGGTGTTTATACCACTACCAAAGAAGAGAAACTTCAAGAAATGTGAAGACCATAGGATTATTAGCCTGATGAATCATATGTTGAAGCTTTTCCTACGAGTAATACACAATAGAGTATACAATAAACTAGACGAACACACTGGTCCTTAAGGATAAGGCACCGTAAGAAGAAGATAAAACTTAAGAGGTCGCTGGTTAAATGATATTTGATAAATAATAATGAAGAAAAAAATGCAATACTTTGACTGTAAATAAAAGTAGCGAAAATAGCAAATATTTGTAGCAAATATATGTAAAATACAATGTTGTAATTCAAATAACAATTGGCAAATTTAATAACTTATTGTCAATTCTTACAGAGATCTACTTACAGAGCTCCTAATCTATATGTAAGGCCTAGTATAGCGGTCCGTCCGGTAAATCATGATTGAGGATATTTTTTTAGCAGGCAAGTATCTGGCCATGGTGTCTGAACAACCCCCGCGTGCGGCCTCAAATATTATCGTGGCCACCCTGGAGGAAGCCTGCATAACTGAGCCTGGAAGGCGGTTCTGCCGACCTTCTAGGATCGAGCTGTATTTGCATTTTGACCATCCCTCTCTTTATAAAAGGCAAAAAAAGTATGAAAGCTCAGTAGATCGCACGGAATAGTCATTTTGACCACCATAGTGCTATTCAGGTTTAAACACAATACATTTACCTGATATGTGGCTATTCTCTTGGTTCCACGGCACAATCTACCTATATCAAGCTTTGTTACCACGTCAATGTGGAACAAAATTATAGGATCGAAACGTTTTTATGCTTATTTAGATTAAAAGAATAAAACATTAGGATTGGAATGGACATGCAAATACTTCAACCACGTTTGGCAAATATTGGCACTAGAAAGTTTGAAATTAAATTATTAATTTAGAACATGAATACAGTTTTGTTTATTGTTTTAATTTCTTTAAACAAAAAAAAAACAAAACATTTTGCAATTCTGGTTGCTTTCATTGTCAAAGTTCAATTATTGTCTACTTGTTATAATTTTAACAAAAATATATAAAAAGAATTGGCCTACCGTTTGACTTTTCGAAGTTAATTTAGACCGTACCCAGTTTTTCTTTATAGTATTATTCTTCGTAACATTGAAACTAAACTATAATTTTAAATTACATATCACTAGAACATTTTAAAGACACTAAGAAACTATGTCAGAAAAATTAAATATGGCCAATACAACATTTAAAAATTATCCAAGATATTATAAAAACAGAGATTTAAATCTGGGGAATACCAAACCTTAACAGAATTCTTGTTTATTTAGTTGCCTATGTATGGGATTTGTATTATATGCAATAGAAGTATGTTCGCTAAATAAAATCTAAATACACTCGATGACGTGCCAAACGAGTTAATTTTTGGTTGGTGATATTTGTTTGCAATAGTAAGGCAACAGAAGTTTGAACAATTACGTTGAACATTTAGTGCATTTATTCACTTGGTCCAATGTTTAAAACAGTTCCTAACAAACCTAAACAAAGCTGACGTTTTCATGTGACATTTATTGCGGTGCCTACGTGTAACGTGATTTGGATTCGTGTCATTCGTATGTGTGGCCGTGGAAGTAGTTTTCATCAATATAGAAGTGCAGTTGGTGTGTAACTCACTTCAAAAAAGTATTGTACCAGAAGCACTTCTTTTATATTTAGTACATAGCTGTTATTTTTAGACACAACACACAAAAATGGTGAGTCTTTCATTAATAATTATCTATTGAGTAATGCTAAATGGAAATTTTGATTTTTCAAGCCTGCTTCTCCAAGTTCGACGAATGTGGGTTCCGGTGGAAGATCCCCCTCAAAAGCTGTAGCTCCCAGGTCTTCTATGGGAAGCAGTGTAAGGCAAAGGAAAACGACCACCACAACTACTACTGCCAGGAGGAATACAGGAGCAGGAACTGGAGGCATGTGGCGTTTTTACACTGACGATTCTCCTGGCATCAAAGTGTAAGTACGAAATTAGTGTTTGTGTAACTATATTGATCATACACTCAGTGATTGTTTAGTTTCTACAGAAATCAAAACCATATTGTTCACTGTTAAACCCTATTATACCAAACAATGATTGATTGTTTGGTTTTTACAGAAATCTAAAGTATATTTCCAGATGTTTTTCATTTAAAAGTTTTTCAGATCTATTTTATTTAGATATTTCTTAGATTAGGTATGTTCTAATTCTAGCAAAGCAAAAAACTTATTGTATGTGGTTGTTATTGTTAATATAATACTTTTTATAAAATATGATACATATTTCATACTGTTACCATTGTTTTCACTATTTCTGTTTTTTTCTTTTATTAGATTTAACTTTTAATATATTTATGTTGGATTTGTTACTCTAAAGGATAAATTGTTCAAATGATCCTACTTTCGTATCAAATGCTTTATTCCTCACAGTGTTAATTGATCAAAATTCACTTGTTGTTGAGATCACAGTTTTTGGCCTTTTTTGCTGTTTCCTCTAATTGTACCATAATGTGTTGGTCTATTGATGTGAATTTGTTGAATGAATTCTGTCTTTATCTCTTTTATTTTGTTTTTATATTTATAGGTTTAACTTTTTTGTTTGTTTTTTGTCAAGATTTGATATTTTGTGGTTAGTTTGTTCCCAATATTTACTAGAGTTCTATACTGGGAGAGGTGAGTGGTCTTTTCATTCCCTTCTCATCTCACTTTACCATGACGAACGTGACTCGCACAAATGAATTACACATCTATGTATCAGAGAGAGAAGAATATTTAAAATTCCGTAGTAGCTTATTTTAGGCAAACGCCAAGAACGATGAAACCGAGTTTATCTTCTTTTTCATGTGCCATATCAGAATTGTTTGATGTTGGTGGTCACCAATGTGAAGGCTTCTCGATCTTGTGCCATGTGGAATCATTGTCCTGCATTTGATATCTGGGTCCATTCACTGATGTTTTTAATCAAGAAACCTGTTTTCTTCCTACACCTCTATGACCTTCTATTTTGCCTTTAAGGATCAGTTGTAGTATTCTATGTCAATTTTTCCTCACTTTATGTCAGAGATAAGACATTTTCCAATATTTAACAGTCTTTAGCCCTATCTTTGTTGACCCTCCTTAGTACTTCCTTACTAGTTTTTCTTGCTGTTCAAGGTATCTTCAGCATCCGTCTATGAATCCATATTTCCAATGCTTCAATTCTGTTCATGCTTGATACAGTATCCACACTTTTGCTCCATACAAAAGTACAGACCAAATATATAACTTTATCTTAGTTCCAAACTGATATGATTATTGCAAAGAAATGTCTTCATTCTCATAAAAGTAGTATTAGTAATTGCTGTTGTGTGTTTTTAGTCATTTGATTGTATGTAGGTTTTTTATTCAATGGCCTTCAACTTAACTTATAATGAAATCAGTTTTTTTCTTCATTGTTTTATTGAGTCATATAACATTTCCTATTGATAGGATGCTACAGATTTCTAGAATGTATTTTGCAATTGGCTTTTTAGTTCTGGACCAGATGAATATCGAGATATACATTAAAAATATTTTATCTTGAATAACTTGAAAAATACCATAACTAAACTACATTCATTTTACATATTCCCAATTGTCAACAGACACACATGAAAGCCAAACAGGGTCATATTGATGTGTATCATATGATTTTTAAAAATTTACTTTTGAAACTATTAGTGTAAGAATTTCTTGAAATTTAATCATTAAATCACAATTAAACTAAACTCCAAAAAATAATACCAGTAAATAACTTAACATTAACTATAACATAAATATAACACACAATATATTAAGTTAAAATCCAACACGATACAATTTGAATTTAAACAAACTGGCAAGTTTGGATCTATATCATGAGAATCTGTCTCACTTAAGGCGATAAATTATATTTAATAGCCTCTTGACGAATGAGAGGGCTAATATCAACACATGTGTGTGTATTTACAGATGGGAATTTGATAAACGAATGAACTTTACATCAAAAGTCCATAAAATTAGCCAAAATAAACTTGTGCAAATAACCAAAAAAAATTCCAGTACATAAAAATGAAAATATACATAAAAAATAGTTTGAACAGAGAAAAAGATTCAACTTGTACATAACTTTTAAAAAATTGCCCCAGTTCGCCTAATTAACCAATTTCAATTTTCTAAAATGGGTTTGAAAGGTTGAACAGCTTGAAAAATAGGGGTCTGTAATGTGAATAGTTTGTTCTAGATGTTTTCTACATTTTAATTGAAACATATTAAAATGTTAGCAATAAATGAGTTTTTGACAAAAGTCCTATAAACAAGTTAAGATTTGTTAAAGATTTTAAAGATCCAAACAACTATTTGTTTCATATCCTTGTAATTCTTTGTGACAACATTGTCCTTCTTGTTGAACACAAATGTGCCACAACCCTAAAAGTTTTCAATTTCAACTTAATTTACTATGAAGTACTGAAATTTATTTCTTTTTATAATAATTCTATCACCTTGATAATGTTTATATAATGTTAGAATATATTTATGGTTTATAGAGTGTGATGTGGAGGCGTAACATTCTATATGTCACTTGTATCACTCTCTGATAATATTCATCAAGTATCTGTTCTAATTGTAGTACTGATCTTTGGTTGATCTTAGACTTTTTGTATCATACTCATCTGCTCGAAGATGGATTTGATGTCTTTTGTTTCTAAGGTTTCTTATTGTATATTTAATACACATAAAAAAATCTCTTCCATCTCTGTTGTTCAAAATTGTGGTTGACTCTTTTTGGACATATAGATTGATGCCTCTTGATTCAATTCTTCTATCATATATATGTTCATATATTCAGATAGCATGATCTGTTAAGATTTTTAAGATCATGGAGAGACTCTTAAATTATTTTTGAAGTATCCTAGGAGATATTTGAGTGAAAATCCTTGCAGTTTGGAATAATGCTTTGGTTATATAAACTGATACTTTCAAAATGTCAATTGGAATAGTTTTGCATATTATATTCCATCCCAAATATATGAAAAATCAGGCAGGTTCAACCCTAACTTATCCATATTTTGGTGCAGAATCTGTTGCTACATATGAATGATCCTAAGCCTGTACAAATTTTTGTGTTACTCACACTAGCTGATGCACCCTGCTACATCCCACTATCTCTTAACAACACAAACATAAGAAATTTAATATTCCATATAGATTTATTACTACATCAATCAGACTTAATTTCGAACAGCTTCCCCAACATATTCCTAAAATTGATGTTACATCAACATTATGCCCATACTGTCTTCAGAAAATAAAATATTGTATGAGGGTCTGATCGATTTTTTGTCTAAAATTTATCTTAGGTTATTCTTTTTCTATTTGTTATTTTACCTACCTTACCTACCTTGTTGTTCAACTAAGTCTTACATTCGTTGGTAATGTTTATATAGTTTTCTTACCATATACTTTCAATTTCGCTAACAGATAGTGATTTAACATAGTAAATTTTGTGTTTTCATGTGCTAATATTTAACTTTGATGATGTGGTAGAGAAGCTTACTACATTATCTAATCAATAAAAAAATAATGAAAGATAAAACATCTTGAATCGACAATAAATTGACTAAACCAAATAATTTTCTACTGCACATGTATTGATTAAACTTTTTTTGTTTTTCAGAGGTCCAGTCCCAGTCTTAGTAATGTCTCTTCTATTCATCGCGTCTGTATTCATGTTGCACATCTGGGGAAAATACACGAGAAGCAGCTCATAGATGAAAGTTTAGCGTTTCATCATTCCATCTTCCATCTATTTAATGCATTTTTGAACTGTATATTTTATATTGTTATAAGTATAAAATGAAGTGTTTTTGATTTATATATATCATAAATTTAATGGAAATACACTCCTTTTCATAATATCTCATTTTGATTGATAGTTAAGTTGTTATATGTTTATAATTAAAGTCAAAAAGATGATACCTTGTGTAAATACTTTTCCTGATAGACTTTAAAACGTTTGTTGGTTGTGGGGTGGGTTTTTCACAGTTTATAAATAAAAATTACTTTTTTATAACTGTCTTTCCAAACAAAAACCAACTCTTATAGCAATCCAGCAAAAATTTTGTGCCAATTGCCAACTTTTTCAATCAAGTCTACCAGTTTTATGTGAATAGTGGCAAACTATTTGTACAAATAAAGGTCCTTTTAAGAACCAGTTACTAAACTAACTAAAGATTTCTGACACTGTAACCAGAAAAAATCATGATGAACAACTTGTAACCATAAAAATCAGATCACATCCTAAACAAATGGCAATCTGGAAAACTCAAATGGTGGCATTGGTCTGCTCATCCATAAAACAACATAATTAGAATATATTGGATATTAGTATAAGCAAATATCAGAGAGGAAGATATAGATAACAGTTACACTGAGCAGTAGATATAAAATGAAATTTATACATGTTATGCTCCTGTTGACAACAGCATTATCAGAAAAAATGCCATTTCACTTTTCTTATGGGTGACTTCAATGTCAAGATAAGAACTCAAATTGATCATGTAGAGATGGCAATAGGAAGACACATTTTAGAAGGTTGAGTATAACTAAATTAATCCATTTATAACAAAACTAAAGCAACTCTGGCATTTGGTAATGTGGTTTTTAGATGGCTCCATTCAAGTTACGTCAGACTAAAAAAAATGAAGAAAATTGCTTAATTGGAAGCCGAAAAAAATACATTATTATACATATAGCGATTTTGATATTCGAAATTCAACTTTCTTTAACGTAATGATTTGACATTTTTCACGCGCAACACGAGATAGTAGCGACGGGCGGTGTGTACAAAGGGCAGGGACGTAATCAACGCGAGCTTATGACTCGCGCTTACTGGGAATTCCTCGTTCATGGGGAACAATTGCAAGCCCCAATCCCTAGCACGAAGGAGGTTCAGCGGGTTACCCGGGCCGCTCGGCCAGGGAGGACACGCTGATTCCTTCAGTGTAGCGCGCGTGCGGCCCAGAACATCTAAGGGCATCTTATTGCACTATCTTATCTCTATTTTCACTTTTGAGATTGCAGCTCTGAACAAGTCGACGGAACTGCAATTATACCACTTTCTCAGATTGTTGAGCCAGGAGATGCGTCTTCTTCCAATACTTCGTTTTCCCTGCATTATGGTTTGTAGCAACACATATTTATCCCTCTCATAACGTGGCCGAGATACTGTAACTTTCTTATCTTAATCGTATTCATGATTTCCATTTCCTTTGTCATCTTTCTGAGGACCTCAACATTTGTTATTCGGTCTACCCAACTTATTTTTAATATTCTTCGGTAGGTCCACATCTCGAATGCTTCAAGTCGATCGCTCACCTCTTTCTTTAAGGTCCAGGCCTCCACCCCATACAGCAGCACCGAAAACACATAAGAACGTAATATTCTTATTTTGAGTTGTAAACTAAGGTCTCTACTGCATAATACTTTTCTCATCTTATTAAATGTTGCTCTAGCTTGTCCAATTCTCATTTTTATTTCTTCTGTATACTCGTTATTTTCATTAATAATTGTACCAAGATATCTGTATTTTTTTACTTTTTCTATTGGAATTCCTCTTATGTTTAAACTGTCTTGTTGTGTTTTGGAAATTGTCATAAATTTTGTTTTATTAGCATTAAGCGTTAGTCCGCTTTCCTCACTAGCATTTACTACATTATCTAAAAGTGTCTGTAGATCTTGTATATTCTCTGCAATTAGTATAGTATCATCGGCATATCTGATCATTATCCCTCCAGATACTGACAGAGAATGTAGCGTAGAATCTTTAAGTAATTTTAAACTGTTTGTCCTCGTTTTAGTGTAGTGTTTTGTACAATTTTATGTTATTTTTAATGTTTCCACATTCTACGCTTGCCGGATAGTTCACATTTTGACGAAATGCCCCTGAAGATGCTATTTTAAGCGAAAGTACTTGGGCTTGATTTAATTAACTTGTGCTCGATAATAGCCTTATTTTCAAAGTTCATTTGTTCGAGCATTCAACCTCATTTCATTCATTCATATATCTGATATTGTTGATGGGTCTGCCGTTGACTTTTATTCCAATTGTTACATTTTCGAGTGATTTTTTAATTATTTCTTCCGAATATAGATTGAACAATAAGGGGGAGAGTATGCAACCTTGCCTTACGCCTCTTTTTATCTCTACTTCCTCCGAAAGTTCTCTGTCGACTCTGACTTTTGCTGTTTGGTTAAAGTAGAGATGAGTTATTATTCTTAAGTCTTTTTTGTCAATGTGTTTCTCTTTAAGTAACTGTATAAGACGGTTGTGTCGGACCTTATCGAACGCCTTATTATAATCAATAAAACAAACATAGAGTGGTTGGTTTACATCCATACATCTTTGCATGAGGACGTTAAATCCAAATAATGCCTCTCGTGTACCCATGGCATTCCTAAATCCAAATTGGGTTTCAGTGATGTCTTGTTCCACTTTTCTGAAAATTCTTAAATGGATAATTTTTAAGAATATTTTTAGTGTGTGACTCATTAGACTAATTATACGGTGATCATTACATTCCCTTGCATTAGGTTTTTTTGGTAATGTAATAAATGTTGATTTGAGCCAATCTCTCGGAATAATACCCGTATTATATAAGTCTACTAATACATTGATCTGATCTTCTGATATTAATTTAATTATTTCAGTTGGAATTGTGTCAGGTCCCGCAGTTTTATTAGATTTTGCCAGATTTATTGCATGTAATATTTCATGCTTAGTTATATTTGACCTATATCATGTTCCTCGCAATCGTTCATGCTATCTTGTTGTGTCCTGTCATCCTCAAACAATTCTTGGACGTATTCTCTCCATCTGTTTAGTTTGCCTTTTACATCAGATATTATTTTACCATTCGTATCAACCAGGGTGTTATTATTGTTGGACCGTCTTATACCTGCTAATTCTTTAATTTTTTTGTGCACTTCAAAACTATCACGATTTCTCTGGAGTTCTTCTATCTCTAAACATTTGTCGTTGTACCACTTTTCTTTAGCTGCCCGTATTTTTATCCTGATCTCTTTGTGTGTGGCTTTGTATTTGTTTACATTTTTGTTTTTGTATGATCTTCTTTTGTCCATTAGTTGCCGGATCTCATCTGTCATCCATGGAGTCTTAGCTTTATCGATTTTGTGACTAATCGTATTTTTAATTGGCATCATTAATGTGTTCTTAAATGTTTCCCATTTTTCGTTGGAATCTTCATTATCATTGAATATTGTTTTGCTTAACTGCTCGTTAATTTTCAACGTTAGTTCTCCTTTTGTATTCGGGTGTTTTAGTAGAGTGCTTATTTGTTTTCTTTTGTTGTTTTTTTATTTTCTTTAAGTGGATTTCGAATTTTACGATTACTGGATTGTGGTCTGATGACACATCTGTTCCTAGATATGTCTTTGCCGATTTGATGGAGTTACGGTATCTCTTATTGATAAGGATATAATCTATCTGGTTTCTGATAATTTTTTCTTTGCTATCCTTAGGTGGTTTCCATGTATATAATCTACGTGGTGGTAACTGAAAAAATGTATCTGGTTTCTGATAATTTTTTCTTTGCTATCCTTAGGTGGTTTCCATGTATATAATCTACGTGGTGGTAACTGAAAAAATGTATTTGTCGCTATCATTTCAAACTTCTGACAGAATTCCATCAGTATTTCCCCTCTTCCGTTCCTTATTCCTAGCCCGAATTCACCAATAATGTCTTGGAATTTACCTTTTCTTAATTTGGCATTAAAATCCCGCATTTTTATTATTATATCTCTATTATTGGTGCTTTCTAGTGCTTTCTTAATGTCCTAAGGGCATCACAGACCTGTTATTGCTCAATCTCGTGCGGCTAGAACGTTTTTATTATTATAATATATGTTACAAATATATTAAAATCAAAATCTTTATCCAGAAAGAGATACGAAAGAAAAAGATAATGGTTTAAAGATTATCATACCATTGTGTATAATTTAGTCGCAAATGCCGGTCAACTTTGACTGATTGTATCTCAGGAACCACTGCTTGTAAGTCAATATTTTTCTTTTAAAAGAAACGTCTCTTCCAACGCCGTTTCCTGAATTAAATTGAAGCTAATTACCGAGATATTTTATTTGTTTGTAAGCCAAAAAATGATTGATAATTTTAAAACATTCCTGAAGCCGTCCAAATGATCCGATTTAAATTCCATAAAGTACATTAGATAGGTTAATTACGTTTTTATGAGTAACAAGAAGATACTCAAAAGATAGCTTTGTGATGTAATGAAGGAAAGTAATATAACAACAAACAGAGAAGAATAATAGAGACAACAAAAAGTCTGTCTTATGAAAAACTATATTAAGGCCAGTTAACAGAAGATTCAGACACCCAACAGACCAGAGTAGTGAACCAGATAGACGACAAATCAGGAGCACAATTCGCCGAACTAATGGATTATCCCAACCACGTCCTGCGTGATCATACGGTATATCTTATCATCACCTTCTACAGAGTCGGCAAAGCAAACCAACGATTTCCCCGAATGATAAAGGTAGTAATGGGTTCGGAATACCACGTTAAAGATATTCTGAGAAATAAAGCCAAACTTCTGGAAAACAAAGCCACGGAAAAATTCTCAATAATTGACGACAAGACGCCCATCCAACAAGTACGTTTAGTAGAACTTTTTCTACCAACAAATTTAATGACTGGCTATTTCTATATACTAATTAAGATTCACTTTCCGTTAAGTTTGACGAATTGGTATGCACAGTGCAACTTCTTAAACCGGACATTATTTGTATTGCCGAATCCTGGCTTAAACCCATAATTCCTGACTCCTCTGTTAATATAAATGGATATAAAATATACCGTAAAGATAGAGAAAA